TTTTTGTATAGTCGATTTGCCAATTAACAATATGTAGTTACAGTTTACTAATTATTGTGTAGTCTATACAGGATATATCAGAATTATAGATCTCCTTTATACGAACTGACCCAAATGTTTATAGTTACATGCGTCTAAAATGATCAGAAAGATCTTACATAGTAAAACCAATAAGGTAGCTGATTTCTGTAAATGAGTTAATTGTTTTATAAGCTTCGCATATTCTTCTGCATATAATTAATTCTCACACATATTTACTTAACATTTTCTTTGCCTTGTTTACATTTTACACATAGTAGACGGAATAATACTGATAGGTCTTCTATTGATAAAATATTATGAAAAAAAAGCATATTTTTAAAGAAATCGACGAATTAATTCAAAATAGTTTTTAATTTTAGCATACAAATCAAAGAATGACAGATGTTAATAAAAGTATTACTGTTTTTTTCGTATATTCTATATAAAGATGAAATAAATTAGATAACGAACAACACCAAAAATATCTTGGCAAACAAAACAAAAAAAACTTTTCGAGCCTTATTTTCATATAGAATGTCAAGAGAATAACAATAAAATTAAGATATCGGTGGGAAATCTAAAATATATATATATGATTATTATCTATGTGAAAACGTTCTTTGTGATGATGCTAATTGACCAAGAGCAGAATTAAGTCCATTTAAATGACTTAAAAATACTTGTTTTTCTACTTGAATAGCAACATTTTGTATTTGAGCTTCTTTAAGAATTGCTTGAACCTAATATAAAAACAAACAAACAAACAAATGAAAAATAAAACAAAAGTTATTTAACTAACTTGAGCTGTAACACGTTGTTCATCGGCATCATTAGCAATTTGTATATGAATAGTTCCAACAATAGTTGATGATGTCAGATTCCAGAAATGTTCATCTGAATATGATTGAACTTGATCAAGTTTAAGTATTCGATCAAGAATTTCATATTGAATATTTGATGGAGTTTGTAATAGAAGTGTCATAGCACTATCTTTCAAAAGTGGAAGTACGGAAAGAAAGATCATTACTGATATAAATATTGAACATATAGGATCTGATATATTCCAACCAAAAAATTGAATAAGTAATGATGATATTATTACACCAACCTAAAATTTACAAAAATAAAAAAAATTTAATTTGAAATATTTTCGAAATACTTACACTGCCTAATGTATCAGCTAATACATGAAGAAAAACTCCTAAAAAAAAGGTATATAAATAATATAGTAAATAAATTATAAAATAATTCAAATTTCTATTAATTCTCAGCATATATTTTGCAAAATCTATTCTGAGGAATCAGAGACAGTTTTGATTCTATGATCAAGAGTATGAGAATGGAAGTATCGATATATCGATCATTAATTACCTTTCATATTAGCATTATCTCTCATTGAATGACTATGTCCGTGTTGATTTGATTTTTCACTTGATCCATGTGAATGTCCATGATCATGCCCACTATCATCATGCGAATGTCCATGTGAATGTGAATGTGAATGAGAATGATCATGTGCATCATGAGAGTGGCCATGTTGTTCTTTCGCTGGAGTTGGATGGCTCATAGCACAACCACCACCGCCACCATGAGCATGTGCATGAGCATGACTGAATGAAAAGATACCAATCATATTCACAGCAAATCCAGCAACTGATACAATTAATAAACGATTTGTATTAATTTCTGGTGGTTCAACAAGTCGACCGATTGCTTCATAGAAAACAAAAAACGCTACAACAACAAGAAATAAACCATTCACAAAACCAGAAAGAACTTCAACACGACCATATCCATATGAAAATACACGTGTTGGTTTCCATCGTGACATTAATGCTGCATAAAGACCAACAACAAGTGCTGTACAATCAAATAACATATGAAAACCATCACTAAGTAAACCTAAAGAATTTGTCCAAGCTCCATAAAGAAGTTCCACAAATGTAAATGACTATAA